TCCCTACAATCAGTCCTCAGCATCTGTTGGATCTTTGTTTTTTTCTTTCCCCATTTCTCCTTGTTCCTCCCCAGCACCTTCTGCAGCCAAACTGCTGTTGATTAGATTGAAGCGACCACAAACCTAGTCAGGTTCAGGCCACATATCAAATCCAGCGTTCCACTTTTTCTCTCTGTCTTATTGTCATCTGGTATTTTATGTCAATATTGAGATTCTGCCACAGAGCGAGATTGAAACGTTAACTGTCAGAGAATGTTAATGATGCCATTCTCCATGTCTGCCCCTCTCTGCCCCCCCACAAGCCAAGGCGGCGCCTGCCTCTATCTCAAACCACAGTGAGGGAAGAGAATGAAAATCAAATCAAATTGCAGGTTATTCACTATGAAATTAAATTGGAAAACAGTCACATTGTTTCCAGCCATATTGTTTATTAGTGAATGCCCTCTGTGTGCTTCTGTACCGTCATATTCCCCATACCAATGTGGTAAAATGGAATTGTTGAGATAAAAGAGAGCAACTGTTGTATCTCATTCAATAGTAATGCAGGCAGTCACAAATAGATGAATGACTTTGACTGGCTAATGTTTGTGCAGTTGTAGTACAGAAGATTCTAATAGTATGCCCTAATGACTGAATAATTGCTTTTACTATTATTATTTTATTTGATCCATTGAGGAAATAGAACCATTTTAATTACATTTGTTTTTCCAGAGACAACCGGCATCATAACAAACATCAAGATTGCACATAAACCACAAATATGAGATTTAATCACAAAGTAAGTTCAAATAGCGCCAAACTTAGCTTGCCTGATGCTCACAAATAATTTGATTTTGCTTTTAGATGAGGTTAGTGCAAGTGCGTTACAACAGGTTTTGCAACCTGTATGACCCATATGGTCATTTGTCGGTTCCCTCTTGTGTGACCCATAGGAGCATCTCCTGAAAAAGTGTTCCTACAGTATGTTGGCAGGCGGAACTGCAAGAACTTCTCCAACATTAGCACTAGCAAGCTTTGTGGACTGTCATTGTCATGGAAACATCTATAAACATAATGGCAAGCACAGCAGAACTCCATGGTTATGGAAACGCTCATAAACATGCCATTACGACTATGAAACATTCATGGTTTCATTATGTTTGTCACACAAAATCCTTGGTTAGGTTTAGGAACAAACACAGGAACAGATCATCGATTGCCTGGGGAAACAGTCCTGTGTTTTATGTAGCCAATCACACCACCCTACCTCTTGATGTGAACTTTGTGGCTGTATACACTACCCCATCTAACGTCTTCCTTGGCTCATGTGATAATTACTACAGTTACTAGAGGATGTCAAACTATAATATCTAACTGTTGGTTATAATAACCTGTGGGCACAAATGACATATAAAATCAATTTAACTGAAGGACAGTCTCATGGGTGAACAACTAAATGCTGGCTAAATACAAGAGGCTAGTACTAAAATAATTAAAATAAATCATAGCTCTTACTACAAGTACATATTAATGGACAACAATCCAGATAAATAATAAGTCATATAAGTCATTCAGCACAAAATCCTAACATTTGCTGGTTCTAGTGTTCTTATTGTGACTATGTGCTGCTTGTCTCGGGTTTGTATCATTGTAAACTGGATATCCAACAATACCAGATGGATCAGGCTGTGAAAATGTGCTTGAGGCTCCATACACAGCACTTCATCAGAAGTGCTATTCAGAACAACTTTGGAAATCCCCCTCCACAGACATCTCTCCATTTCTGTACCTTTCAGAAACCAATAATCCTTCATTTGCATGCAGTTTATGAAGTGATTGGCCATCTGTGTGGAGATGAGAAAATAAGCAGGGTTTGAACTTCTCTCTTAAACTCTATTTTTGTCATTCTCTATATAACTATTTCTGTAAATTTTTAAATTAACAATTGAATGCAGCACTGTGAATGCCTTTCGGAAGTAAGGAACTGTGACATGTTTTCCATTTTTAAATGTAACCCTCCACCCTCTATTTTGTGACAACCAGCTTTTCCAGCTTGCCTTCAGACAAAGTTAGAAAACAAGTAATGTGAACTAGCCTTTCTGCATGGAGTTGCTTTGTATTGCATGCTAACATTAGTATGCCTAGATGCTCACATTGACAATGCTAACATGCTAATGGTTAGAAATTAATGATTATCATGTTAACCATTTTAGTTTAGTATGATAATAGCAAATTAGCACCAAGTACAGCTAAAGCCGATAATAATGTCTTTGGTTTTATAAGTATTTGACCATAAACCGGTTTATTAGACAAATTAAAATTTAAAAAAATAATGATGCTAGATGAAAAGTCAGAATTTCACCAAAGAGATCATCTTTTTGGAGACAGAAATATGTGTACAAAATTTCAAGGCAATCACTGATGTTAAGACAGTTCATTAAACTAATGAAATGAAAAAAACTAGAATGTCAAACTCATTGTACTGCTAGAAGAAAATTCAGGAAATCACTGGAGTCATCAGGAGTCAGCCTATGCATATCATAAATATCTTTCAATAGTTGTTCATCCTGGACCAGGTGAGTGATGCACAAAACATCTCACATTTCCATTTGATGGAATGATGCAGCCATAAAAAACATAGTCTAGGGTATTGAGTATTTTTTTCAGTAAAAACATTGTATAGCTTCAAACAGAAGCCTGAAGAAGGTAATACACAATACACATTATGCAGTATATACTGACAGACAATGTGGAATAACCTCAGAGTTATGAGCCACCGAATATCAAAAGGCAAACACTGACTGAAAATTAGAATCATTCTTAGATGTAGCCCATGTCCCATATACTCTATGCAGATGGGATTAATAAAATAAAAAAAAATATAAACCAAAAATTTAAAATCTTATTAACTTCAAAACCTAAATGAAAAGTCAAGTTCCAAGTGCTGAGTAAGAGCCACCTCTTTGCCTCATATAATTTTTCTTCATTAACCGAAATGATGCTGACCACAAAGCTGATAAAAAATATTCTGGAAGCAGCTTCTTCTGTTCTGTCCCCAGAATATCAACAGCCTGCAGTGAGAAACCCATTTCAATTTTGACTTAAGACGACATTTCCTATTTCCCCCTTAAGTTATTAAAGTGGCACCAGGAGGAGGTATCTGAAGGTCAAGATGAAAACCCAAGAGAGAGAGACTGAAAGACAGAGTGAGGGAAGACATGACAGAAGGAGAGGCAGAGGGATAACGGCAGAGACTGTGACAGTGAGGATAAGAAATGAAAGAAAATGAGAGATAATACAGAGATGAAGAGCGAAAAAAATAGAAATGGAGGCTGAAAGTGAAAGGACTTCTCCGCTCGCTCCCTACCACTCATCCATGTCCACGTCCCTTTTAATAGATTTCTAGCACGGCCTCGTCCTCCTCCTCCAGCAGGTCTGTACGGGCTCAGAAGATTAAAATGATAACCAACAGTAATGAGGTCCTACAGGACTGCGGTTGCATGACTAATCGAAGGGCAAAATGTACAGGAAGGCTCAGGAGCGTAACTTCAAAGGGCAACATAATGGTCGGTAATATAGAGATTAAGCAGGAAGGTTAAATCATGATGATGCAGCAGAACCAGCTCACAACAGCAAAGGGTGTGTTCATATATATCTTCTGAATTGTCATTTCACACAGGCTTTCAACAGCAGTGCATTCATAACGGTGTCATACTGTATGCTACAGAGCCATCAGATCAGTGAAGCGATTTCACATCTCTGGCTTCTATCAGCTGCTTTCATCTCCTCTATGAAAAACACAGCCATGCTAAGCTATTAGGTTTGCTAATTAACATTAACCTTGAACCATTAGTATGTATATTATATTCATACCTTCGGGTACTTTGGAGCACTGCAACTGAACAACATACTGTATTTTAAAATACACACTTTTACAAATAATTTTAATTGAAGTAAATTCTTCCAATGTATGATTTTGTCTTTAAATACTATTATTGTGAAAGTGATTTTTGAAATAGGATACTAAAACTTCATAATAATACAAAGGACACAGCTTGATTCAAGTATAGTAGTGTACAATTTAAAGGTACTTGTACATAGAGATGGGTTCTGATAGTGTATTGTCTTTTGGATCCAGTTCCAAGCTGTTTAAATACCTGGGTTCAGAAAGCTTCATGTTCAAACAAATCCCTTATTAAACTGTCATTCAAGCTTTGTTTAGTTTGTAGTCTTTGGCCACTAACACTACAGACACTGACAAAGAAAAAAGACTTACTCAGCAGCACTGCTATTATATATTTATACTCTGTACAGTATTACATGCTATCAATAAATCTGAAAGAAAAACACTGTTTTAAACAAACACAGCAGCTTAACTGCTCTGAAGTCAGCAACTGTAAAATGCCATTTTTGTGCAAATATACTTATGACAAATGTAGAATAACACATCCTTTTAAAATATTTACCTAGCATCAAGCATGTTATTACAGTAAAAACTGTTCTTATCACTGATAACATGAAAAGCACGAGCGCCTCAGCCTACTGCCGGTGTTGCACTGTATTCTGTGACCGCCAGATTCTGGGAACTGTAGCAGCGCAACAGCCAGTTCACCTTCAGTAATACTAACCAAATATTGTATGCATAATATCAGAAATATATTTGGTATTCACAGAATGATGAGTAAAATCAATATTATTTTTGCTCAGTTGTTTTAACTTGAGTTTCCAGAGCTTCTGAGTGAGGGCAGGGTTAATGAATGTCACAGAGCAGTGTCAAAATAAACATCACTTCAGCTTAGCAAAATGTCAGCGGTTTAGGTTGGACAGTTAATTACCTCCACCAAGGTTATGTTTTTACCTGTTTGCTGGTTTTCTCACATTATGACTCAAAAAGTAATGAATGGATTTGGATGAATTTTTTTGGAGAGGTAGAGTATGGCCTATGGAACAATCCATTGGATTTTGGTGGTGATCTGGATCATAATCCAAATCCAGGCATTTTTTAAAGCATTCTGTACCATTGTGAGATAGGGCCAATTGCAATATTTTTGCTTCTAACTCCATACACAGTCCCTAGAATGCTTGGACAATAATTGCACAGTAACATCCACATAAAGTCTGTCTCTAAGTGTCAGCCTTGTGATAGACTGGTGACCTGTCCAGGCTGTACCCCACCTCTTGCCCAATGTCAGCTGAGATCAGCTCCAGCCCATTGCAACCCTAAGTGGTATAGATAATGAATGGATGGATAGATGGTCCACCCCTGTGCTGTATTATGTTTTAATGTGGCAGTTATGAAAAAAAAAATCATTTTGTTTCACCCCTCCAGCATGGTGTACTTCACTGGCAACAATGCTACAAGCATTCCGTGACAAGGTACCATTTACAGCCTTCATCCTGCCAGCAGTGTGCCTGCTTGCAAGCGTAGCCATGCGCTTGATGTACTAAAACACAGTTGTAAACATAAAAACATTGTGTTTTGTGAACCTTCATACAAGGTGACATGCTGAGCAAGACGAGGTAAAGTTTTGATAGCAGACTGACGGAGGTAATGGACTCCTGAGAAACCATTTTTTGCATGCTGTTATTTTTGAAGGTTGTTTTGATTTTAGAATAAGCATGTAATCATGTCCTTGGAATACAATCCAGTACAGCTCCTTTGCATTTATTCTTCCATTTATGCTCCCCTCCTTCCTTGCTGCATCCTTCCTCCCAGCTGGGTGCAAACTGACAAAGCCCCCAGCTTAGCATTTGTAAAGCAGCTAAAGCAACCCTACCTTCTTGACGTAGCCCTGGATGAGCTCAGGGGTGGGCACCTGCTCAGCAGACAGACACTCTTCCAGCTGCAGTTTGTACGGTGGGCAGACCGGCTGGCTCCTTTCCGCCCTGTAGGCACCAAAGTGGGGGAGGGAGGACAATGAGTTTTAGCCTTTTAGGCAGCCTGCCTGCTGGACAAACACTCACTATACATGAGGGAACCCCATGCATTAGCACACATGGAAACACACATCCACAAAGTCTAAAATGATAAAATTACAGTCATAAAACACCCACAAACAGGGTGCTATTCAGAGACCCAGGCATCAAATCAATAATACAAAAATAACCCCTATCAGCTAATTACACTGCATCAGGAAGCTTTGTTAGTGTTATTGTTACCCTGTGGGAGGCAGGAGATAAATACAGTAGTGCACCAACATCCACATGGATGAAAGAAAACACATGGAGAGCACAGAAAGCAGGAAATTCAATGCAAAACATGTTTTCCTCCCCTCTTAGCCCTCCCCACTGAGGCCGATTCTGTATTTTGAGCAGGGAAAATCTATTTATATGGTGCTGTATTTTCCTATTCTGTCCTGTGGAGGAAATCCCAGAGCTAGCCCTGAGGAGACTAAGACCGTGTTCAGACTGTGTTTCAAAGGTGAGAAAGACCACAGCTCTCTCCATTCATTTCTATGGGGGATTGTGTTCACTGCAGCCAGTGCCAGCACCACAGGGGGCTCCGGCAAAATGACGCAACCCTCTGCAGTGAAAAGTTGGATCTAGTTCAACGACTCAGTCCTCTAATGACTCAGTCATTAGAGGACATTGTTGGCCACCAAAGGACTGGAACCGCAGCGATTCAGTCATTAGGGGACATTGTTGGCCATCGAAGGACTGTAACACCACCCAGGGGAGATAAATACCTCCCGCTCACCACCAGTCAGACAAAACTGATGAAGCCTCTTGGATGAAGGGTGAAATGTCTTCTACCTAAAACTACATCCAGACGATTTCTTCTACATTTTTTCAGCATACTATGACCTGGATCTAGTTCAACTTTCACAGCGCTGGAAAGTGACACCATCCGGAGCTGCGTCCTGTATCAGGGACGATTGAGACGTGGATGCCCACGGGAAGAAGACTCTTTTGTTAAACTTGTTAGCATGAGCATTCACTGCTATTCACTGTCAAAACTGTGCCACAGTTAACACTGTAACGACACAGCATGTATTTTCATTAGTACTGCGTGTTTTTTTTAAATCTATCTATCAATGATGACACAGTGGTGGTAGAATTAGTGCTAAGGTAGAGGTTGATGAGCCTCCTTTTCCCTCCTGTCAAAAATATACCTGAATTTTACTATGCATCTTATGTTGCTAACTATTAAATGTTGCTAACCTTGATCCTCATAGCCAGGCCTGCTAGAATACCACACTGGTGTATAGAGAAGTGTTCAGTTAGCAAACCATTGTATTACCACTTTGAACCCAATCCTAAATCTTTATGACTGTTTTTCACAGCACTTCACATCACAGGTAATGCTCCTGACTCAGGGCACTCCCTTGTCAGCACACTTCTTCTCTACTGTCACCGACACAGTCGCTTTGTGTACAGTGTATTGCAGTTGCAGCACGCAGCGCTGCACAAGCTGGGCCGATTGACTCTTCAGACTTCATATGCTCTGTGAAACATTGCTTTCACTACTTCTTTGCAGCATCATAACACTAAAAAACTCGATGGTAGAAACCTGATGGCACTGTCAAAAAGATGCATGTATCCTCCACTGGATGTGACATAAATGACAACCAACCAGCCTGGCTCTGCTCCAGGCACATGTTCAGGGAGCAAAAGAGAAAAGGAGAGACACACAGACAGCCAATACAGTTTGTATTGTTTAGTGAAGAGCAAACCATTTGTTTCTTTTTTTACTTCTGAATTATTATGCTTGTACAACAAGTTTTACCAGCACTTTACTGAGAAATCTGCAAGTTCCCTCATGTGCTGCAAATTAAGGGGTAGTTTCAAAGGATGATATGAAAAGCATTTCTTTTATAATGATATAAATTCGTCTTGCAAAGAAAATGAAGGTCCAGTTCATCATTCAGAATCTATCATTAAAATAAGAACAATTTAGTCCTTCTGAGAGATTTTTCTTTAAATTAACAGCTGGTGCTTGAGCATTGCAATTTGATTTCATTTTGTAGTATCAAGCATACTGCAGAGAGGTGTCACCTCTTTTCAAATGGTCATTAACTCTTTTTGGAATGAAAGAAAGAGGGAGACAGGAGATTGAGAACAACAGTTCAAACAGTACACTGTGTCCTGGAGGGAGGCCTTGGGTTAAAAATAGCTCCTGTATCACCTGCGGTCCAACTTCTCTGTGTGAAACGGTGACTTTTCATGTAGCATGCAGCACCAGCTGTCAACCTCTGAGGCCTCCTATGGTTAGACGGGTGTCAAATGCCTGCCCGCCCACCGGCCTGAGCTCCCTCCTGGGTGAGTACACCTGCTAAACTCCCTCCCTTCTTGTCTGCCTGCAGATGGGTCTCATCCTTTGTTTCGCTGTAGAATAACTTGCACTGGACTAATCGCTCCCCTGAGAACTGAACGTTCACATGGTAACTAATTGCATATTACACGTTAGTGGCTTGCTTTGGGATTAGCTTCAGCAACTCAGCGGCTACATCATTTGTAAATGTGTGGTTTCTGATTTCACTGTGTTCACTGAGATTGTGTTGTTTTTCAGTGGACACCAAAAAAAAAGTCCAGAAGCAGTTTAGTCTTTGTATAATCATATAATCTTCTGAGAACTTGAGGACTTTATTCTTGTCCCAGCTCAGTTTAAAGTGGACACTTTCTGTCTTCCTTATCAACTGGGCAGCATTGTAAGTGCTCAGTTGTTTGGTGTTTCTGTGGAGGTTTCTATATCAGGCCCTCTTTTATTTGTCTGCCAAGCCACAGTCATTATCTCTGCCAGTACTAGCACTTGGTACTTGAGACTCAAATCACCCTTGTGCTGCAAACAAAAGCAAAACATTCTCAGATTCTGGCCTGTTTTCCTCTGTGGGAGTACATCATCTGGGAACCATGAATGTAAGCTCAACATTTGCGCCAGTCCATCTAAGTATGTGTTCTATTTCAATAAATAAATTAAAACTTTGACCTGCTGGTGGTTCTAGAGGAAAAGCAAGGAAATCATTAGTGTTGTTGTCAAGACCACCTAAACCGAGACCAAGTCAAGACCAAGACCAGAGTGTACTGTGTGGCTGCCCCCAGATAGTCGAATAGTTGAGTCATTAGTCGAGAGACCTGCCAGTCGATTGAGACTCTTGTAGTTAAGACTTTGTTTTTATGTTTTTATATTTTATTTCTGTCAGCTAGTGTGCATAACAACAGAAAGTAGCCCCCTGTAAGTTTGTCATCTTCTTCTCCTCATTTTGGTGTACCAAGCAGCAAGTTGCTCAATACTCCCCCCCTCGAGACCGATCTTGAGTACTACAACACTAGGAATCACCACATTAATGTTCTAGGCATTGCGAATACTTGTGGGAGTTTTACAGTTATTCATTCAATAGTTGTCAAAATGTTCCACTAAAACATGAATGTTAATCTTGTGGTGGCAACAGAACAATAATCGGTAGATCACCAACATCAAGATTCATCCTCTGGAAACCCTGTTTGTACAGAAGTAGACTGGTTGGCAGACTGTTGTTAAAATCATAACTGCATCACTTTGTTTTTAGGTTTTTATATTTTATTTCTGTCAGGGGTGGCTGTGCTCATGAGGTAGGGCAGTTGTCTCCTGACCAACAAGTTGGTGGTTCGACTCCCGGTCTCCCCGCATGCCTAAGTGTCCCTGAGCAAGACACTGAACCCCGAATTGCTCCCGGTGGCTTGACTAGCGCCGGTGCATGGCAGCCTGTCGTCATCGGTGTGTGAATGGGTGAATGGTGTATGATCTTCTGTAAAGCGCTTTGGCCAGTGCAACACACTGTGAGGAAGCGCTATATAAAATACAGTCCATTTACCATCACTTCTTGTGGACATGACCATACGTATGTCATTGGAAAGATGTAGTTGAAATAAGATGTCATATAAGGTCATAGATTGTTTAAAACAACCATTTCCACAAAGTAACAAAGGATGAATTCAGTATAATCTTTTAAATTGTTACTTTAATGCCACCTGTTTGAGGAAATTGCTTGATGGGAGTTGAACTGCACTTAGTGTATACTATGAAAGATTTTTTTTTTTTAATCATGCTACAGAAAGAATGTCAAGTCTGAATAGAACCATTTTCACAGCACAGTCAGTGAATATTGATGGAAATGTGAATTCACTCCTGCTACTTCTGCATCAGAAACAAAGTCATGTCAGACCTCTTACCCTCCTCCATCTCTCACTGCTCATCTATTGCTATGACGACACAGTCAGGGAGCGTCTGAACCTCTGTTTAGCACTCTGCCACTGTGGAGCTCTAATAACATAGCACACCTCTTCTAATGTCACATTTTCACACATTTGTGAATCATTTCTCCGGAGTAACCCTCCTCTACTGGATTTTAGTCTGTACCTTGTATTTTCCTCTTTCTCTCTCTGTCCCGTTCTTTCTCTGCCAGACCCCATGGAAGCTCCTTGCAATTACCCAGTAATGATGAATATATCCCATTAGACATTGTCTGCTGCACTGTAACCCTATTCCATCCCAGCCAAATTGAACACTGGCAAAATTGACAGTTGACATTTTAAATCTTCAAATGGTCCATTCCATTCTATCTACACTGCAGTGTTTTTCCTCTTCCTTCCTGCAGCAGCTTTTAAGAAGGGCTGGTCATCACCTGTGACAAATTACTGTTTGAGGTCTCTAAAGTTATAACCCACTTAACCGGGTATGCCACTCAGTTGACAGGGTCTTAACATTTACAGATGACATAGTCCTGTATGTACACAACCTCTGCATAGCTCCTGACTGTGCATGGATGCTGCAGCATCACTCCCTCTATGTAAAGTGCCTTTTTGGCGGAGCCTGTCACACTGAGGCTAATTCTGTAGAGACTTGAGTGGGGTTGTGTCCACAGACATGCAGTGTATGCCAAACAAAGACTTCTACAGCTGCTGTCTTTTGTTTTGTTTTTTGCACAGTTGCAAAAAGATGTTTGCTTTGGAGTGATTGTAGGAATGGCTGCTAGCTGCCATGCTTTCAGTCCTGTGCATTGTAACTCTAGCCCCTGCCCTCGTGTTATCTTCTTTTGATTCCTGGGTCTGACAGCAAAAAGGAACAGAAGAGGACATGCTCAGCTTTTTGGTTTTTCTTCCCTCATTTTCCTGTGGTAAAGATTTGGATTCCCCTGTGGGCTGGTGCCGATGTGAGCGGCTGTTTCCACGGTGACAGATGCTAGAGATAAAGCCCAGGCCCTACTTTTGGCTGATGCCATACCAAAAAATGGGAGACTCCTCTGCCCTTTTCACTCAGTATCCCTCTCTTTCCTGTTTTTTTGTCCCTTACAGTCAGCTTCTCTAGTCCTCTTTCTGTCCAGATTCCCTTTCTTCCCTCTCAGTGTCTTTGGAGCCATACAAGCATGTTCCCCTTTTTAGTTTAACTTTTTTATTTAAAAAAAGAGTGATGCGGTTTATTCAGCTGTGGCCTTTTCAAATAAAATCAATATTCCTGTTGTTCGGTTTTGCAGCAGCAAAGAGCTAAGGAGTGTTTAGACGGCATGTATGAATGTCTGTGCATGCCAAAAGTGAATGTGAGGTGTTCTATACAACAGCATGGGAGGTGATTACCAAGAGACACAATCTGCAGGAAGAGAGGGCAGATAAGGTGCCGTGTGTTTGCACCATATCAACTTCTAAAATGTGGCTGGCCACCTTGTTTTGACCTCACATGAATTCCAGTTGCCTGTATTATATGCATTTATAACAGAGCTGCAAAGTCAGGAGTTATTTTGGGTGTTCGGGGGTTATACAGGTAAAAAGCCAAATTAATTTTCTGCATAGACAGTGGTAAATAAGTGTTAGTTCTGAAGCATGGATGGGCATGTAACTCTCCTGGCTGAGTCATCAGCATAAAAGATGAATGAAAAGATGAAAAAGGTACAAACCTGTGTAATTTATGCTAAGGAGTGTTTTAGTTAAAAGTATCTCATCACCAGGTTTACAATTGTGTTGTGTCACTAAACATGAGCTGGAACTAAACAGACAAATTTATTCATTGAAAAACAAGTTGAATGCCATTTTACATGGAACACAGCAAAGAAATGCTGGGATGTATTAAAGTTACTGGTGCTGGATTAACTCTGGAATGTTGTCATATCCTGTATCTACCTTACTGAACATATTTGCATAAAGACATCTGATGAAAACATGCATGGTTTCAGACGTTCACTCACAACTAGCTCATTATTTTAATGGAAAAGTCTGGCCTCATTAAAAAATAGATGGCTTTGACTGACAACTGAGATTGTTGCCAGTTTATTTTACTGCTGCTACTTATTCTGAACAGGGTGGGGTTTTTTTACTATTAACTTTATTATGCATATTTACTTTTAATTGAAGGTTTTGGATATTTTTACTAATTTGACTATCTTGTGACTCGTATTTTATTTTAGACTACACTGTGAGCAACTGTATCTTAACAGTTTCCCTGTGGGATAAAGTATTCTGATTCTGATTAATTGCTCTTTTGTTATGTTTTTGTTTATTGCTTATTTTTGCGTGTATTACAGTTTTCTTCTTCTGCTTTGAACCCTTACATTTTTCTCTTATGACTTAGGATCGACAAAGTTTTGTCATATTTTATGTTATCTGAGATTCATCAAAACCTCCTCCCTTCTGAATCACATCTCTTGACCTCTTTTCCTGAAAATACTAACAACAACAACAGCAACTCCTTTCCACAGCATCACACTAGTTTGTGTTGCTTTTCTTACATGATCTCTTTGTGGTTGCAGCAGAAGTGTCAGGGCACAGCGGCTCTGATTATTACACCTCTTATTCTTAGTTTCTTGTAGAACTGCACAGTCTTTTTTTTTTCTGCACTTACTGTACTGTTGCTGTGGTTGAGAGTCTTAGCTAAGTGACTGAAATGTCAGTGTTGACTAGTTGCAATGGTGGCATCTTTATGCTCTGGAGAGGCAACAAAAACAATGTATGTAACAAAAACACTCTAAAGAGAAAGAGAAAGTTTCAAGTACTGGATCTTTAACCTCTTCAGAAAGGAGCAAGACACTCTCGCGAAGCCGAAACACCCCCCCACCCCCCCGCAGTGTTTTGATGAACATGTCTGGGTGTTCCCTGGGCTTCAGAGCCAGACAGAACAGTCACTGGGGTTTCAGCTGCTGGACTCAGCCAGTTCTGGGTGTTCCCTGGGCTTCAGAGCCAGACAGAACAGTCACTGGGGTTTCAGCTGCTGGACTCCGCCTGTCTATATGTCATTCCTGCCAGGAAAATCTCGTCCTCCTTCTTCTTTCTCTTTCTTTTTGATTGTCATGTTTTTACTTGAACCAACTTTACAGTACGTGGTCCTGAATAAGTTGATCCGGTTTCACGACCCATGGGGCCAACAAACACTTTTAAACCTGGCCATGAATTTTCCCAAAAGCCAAAGCAATCTTCCTCCTATGAGTCCAGAGAAAGAGATTTTTTTTTTTGGATGAATTCTGAAAGCTCCACTCTCCACTGTTCATCACCCTCCATGTCCTTCAACCACCTGCCCCAGTCGAAGCCCCCCACCAGATTTCATGACAAGAGGGGCATGGGCACAGCAGTGAAGGGCAGATATAGGGGGCAGCGGTGACTTTGGGCCACGCAGTCAGGTTTGGCTGGAGCACTGAAAAGGCTGGCTGGAGATAGAGGACTGAGATTATTGCTGACTCACGTCCAAATGCAGCTACCCACATGACAGCTTGCTGAGCCACAAACAGATGCTTTGATGCTCTGGTGCAGATCCTGAAGCCACACTGGAAGGTTAAATGACTAATAGGATATGAACCTTGAACCTCCTTCGTTTTTGTAAGTGATTGTCATGGTGGAAATATTTCTGCTAACAAGTATCCCACAAATAAAACTGTAATTTCTTAAACAAAATACTTGGACATTCACTATATAAATCCCAGTGTAACTTACCAGCCAGCACCGTTTCTGTACCTCTCAACACATGAAGATAAAAAGAAAATGGCTATGTCTTTTGTTATAATAAAGGTCTTATTCCCAGGAGTGTAACCAAGATATCTTTGTTAGGTAAAAAATGGTTCCTTCAGTAAGGGCCATTCCCCATTTACTGTCACAGCCTTTTGCCCCACTTTTACTTGTTTGGAAAAAAAAGTAAATTTACTTTTTTTAAATTAAATAAGCATGTAAAACTGCAGTAGACAGTGTACAGTGGGAAACTTTAAAATGCTTGGGTGCAATGGAGCCTAAAAATGAGGGTGAAAATCAATTTAAAATGATCCATTTAAATTTAAACCCTTAAAAAAACGTTTTTCAGTAAAACTCAGAAATGCCAAGTTGATCATGGGCTTCTTTTTCCTTGGGCAGGCAGTGTAACAAAAATACTTCACTAATAATACTTTATATAAATACCTTCATACATTTGTACACATGAAATCAAACCAAACTAATGCTGTTGTTGCTAACCTTTTTAATCTGTCATAGAAACTGTATGAGGAGTTTCATTTAGTTTCTACTGAGTGCAAACTTTTGTTCTGAGCTTTTACTTCTTTATACATACTGTATTCTCCTATACAATCCAATCACATATCAAATCAGTCTCATCTCACTCTTACCCATCATTCAGTTGGACCAGTATGGCCCGGTAGAGCTGGTGCTGTGGGCTTTTGGAATCTGGACCACAGGGGTGGATGAATGGGTGAACAGCTGCCAGAACAAAGCCCTCCTGGTAAAAGTCCTGCAGCTGTCCTGGTAGTTCCCGCACCGATGAGAGCCGCAGGGTGGACGTCCCACCTGAGAGACACCAACAGGGGTATGTTGAGTCCTGATGAAGGTTTACAGTGTCATCTTTCTAGTCAAGCAGAACTGTTAATTTGAATTTCTCTTTAGTTGTATTTCCTGTCTGTCAGCCATGCTGGAGGTCATAATGCTTATGTCCATAATGCAGTTATTCTTCTGTTTGTTTTAAACAAATCACTACTGAGTCTCCAAGATAATATTTTTTGTTATAATAATTATATCTTCTCATGGCTAAATACACCAAATTTGTGTTTAGAAGAACAAAGCTGAACTAGTAACACTGAGAAATTCAGCCTCACAGCATTTTCACTTGGACATTTCCAGACCTTGTTATTTGCCCTCAGACTTTCCCACTCTTTGCCAGTCACCTGATCTTGCACACCTGACCCTCATTTCCTTGTTGGCTCATACTTGTCTCTTGTTCCCTGATTTGAACCCAGCACATATAAGGTCCTGAAAACAGTTCAGCACAGATTTAGTCTTAACAGTCTTCAGTCAAGTTAGTCAAGAAAGCAACAAGCAACAAGAAATATTTGAGGCATAAAGTTTCAGATGATTCTAAATTGACAAAAAAATAAAACCGCAGGAGCAACATTTTCCACTGCACTTCTTAGTATATGTTCCATTTGTCATATTATGCAAATGATGTACATTTTACAGCAGTTAGCGTCTTTTAATTTCTTCTGTATAATTCATGTATGAGGTCTTCCTTACTGTAGAAAGGTACATACAGCTAGACCTGCCTAACGTCACACATTTTATGACGATACCCGACAACACAGCAGCGGTGAAAAGGCACTACACCAGTGAGAAGAAAGAAAATTGCTGTGGGAAAAAAAAACGTGAAGATTTGCAATTCAGATACAACACGCACTTTAAAGATAGTCCTGGTTTTGTTTTGACAATTAGCATCATGCCCTTCCCCCCATCCCTCAGTCTGGGAGTAAATAAGAGTGGATCAAATTCTAATCAGAGCTGATTGCTTAGGAGCTGTATCACAGCAGCTCCCTATATTCTGACACTTTGATTCCCTCTCAACTGAACTTAACTTTCCAAGTAAAGCAGTCTGACATTAATGAGCTGCAATCAGTGAGTGGCCGGCTGTTAAAAAAAGAAAGCTAGGGACAGAGTTGCTCTGTGAAGCTCTTTCTCAGAATTATTTTTTCCAGCCCCTCTGCCCATCTCTCCAGGGGATGAAACCCTGCAGCGGACAACCACTGCTGACGGCCTCACTCAGGGAGCAACTGGCTGTATTACAGCAAGCTGCTCACAGCTTCTATCAGGAAACACTGGCCAATCAATTGCGGGAAGGGAGAGTGGTTCAGGTTCAGGGATGGGAGCAATTAGATTAGAAAATTAAGAGCTAGATAGTGGGAAGGATGGAGAGGAAAGATGGAAGAAGAAACGACAGAGCAGTTTAAACAGAAAGGAAGAGAAGAAAAGTTAGAGAAAATATGACTGAGATGACGCTTGGCCCCGGATGCATGACGGCTGGGATCCCAGCAGTATGCTGTACAGGCGACATTTACTGCAGGCCAAACAGCTGGGGTGCGTGGGAGAGCACCAAGACAAAGAGCTGGATGCAGAATGAGAGACCGGGAGGAGCAGTGGAAGGAGGGAGGGGAGAGGAGGTCTGGTTGTCTGTACGAGGTGTCACAAGATGTGAGAAATGCCACTATGGCTAATTAGAGTCAATGAGACTATACAGAACGAAAGGTTCAGATCCAGGGGAACAGTCACAGTATAGAAGTTCAATGGGAGGTCAGACAGAGGACAAGTGCAGCAGAGCTGGCGGGCAGGATGCCGCTGTTTTCTTTTTTGTGTTCGATCTGAGGTGGCATCAAAAACACTAACATGATAGCAGTGTAGTCCATAATAACACTGGATAAATTACTTTCCAAAGTGTATTTAGATACAGATTTTAGGTTTAATTAAAAAATATTTCAAACCCCAGGACTGTAAAACCTTCATTTGTGTTACTCCATCCTGTCAATGATAATCAGAATCAGAATCAGCTTTATTGGCCAGGTGTGTGTCAGATGCACGAGGAATTTGACTCTGGTACATCGGCTCTCAATGTATATGTGCATAACCACATGCATGGGGCAAGTAAACAGTAAACCAGCATAAGGCTGTGTAATATAACAAAATAAGCAGTATTAACAAGCAACAAACAGTCCAAACAATGCAAAATAAGCAGTATAAACAGGCAGTAAACAATGCAGACAGACAAAGGAATGCTCATTGTGATTTTTTATAGAGTACTTAATAAATAGAGACCTGTATGGATCTGAATAATCTGTATAATGTACATTTACGGGTATTTCACTGAGGGTTATTGTCCAATCATACTGTCACTGGTTAAGTGTTCATCAGAGTGATGGCCCGGGGAAAGAAACTGTCCCTGTGCCTGGTTGTCTTAGTGCACAGTGACTTGTAACACCGTCCAGAGGGGAGGAGTTCAAACTGTTTGTGTCCAGGGTGTGAGGGGTCTGTAGTGATCCTCTCTGCCCTCCTTTTGACCCGTGAGGTGTACAGGTGCTCCATGGAGGGCAGGCTCACACCAATGACCTTTTCTGCAGTCCTCAATGTCCGCTGAAGTCTGTTCCTGTAGAATACATTCAGGTCATCTGCTAGTTGATCGTCCTCCACTGCAGGTGGTGATGGTTTCCTATAGCTAGTGATGGTTTTCAGGCTTCCCCACACAGACGAGGGGTCGTTGGCTGAAACCTGAACTTTCAGCTTTTCAGAGTAGCTCCTCTTTGCTGCTTTGATCTCCCTTGTCAGTGTGTTCCTGGCCTGGCTGTACAGAGTCCTGTCCCCACACCTGTAGGCCTCCTCTTTGGCATGACGAAGCTGCTTGAGTCTTGCTGTAAACCAGAGCTTGTTGTTGTTGTATGTGCAGAAGGTCTTTTTGGGCACACACACATCCTCACAGAAACTGATATAAGATGTGACAGTGTCAGTGAGTTCGACCAGGTCTGTAGCTGCAGACTCAAATACACTCCAGTCTGTGCAGTCAAAGCAGGCCTGTAGCTCTGACTTAGCCTCCTCAGTCCAGCTCTTCACTGTTTTGACTACAGGCTTCACAGCTTTAAGTTTCTGCCTGTAGGTTCGAATAAGATGGACTATACAGTGATCTGAGAGTCCAAGGGCTGCACAGGGGACAGAGCGATAGGTGTCTTTTATTGTTGTTTAGCAGTGGCCCAGTGTGATTTTTGTCCCTGGTGGGACAGGTGACGTGCTGTCTGTATTTGGGCAGTTCGTGGGAGAGATTTGCTTTGTTAAAGTCCCCTAGAACAATGAGTGGAGAGTCAGGATGTTCTAGCTCCAGGCTAGTTATCAGTTCTGCCAGTGGCTGTAGTGCACTACCCTTGGCCTGTTGTTTTATGTACACTCTCATTAGAATGAAACTGTTAAATTCACAGGGAGAGTAAAAGGGTTTGCAATTGATAACAAGAGACTCTAGGTCTGCGTTACATGTCCTCTGTAGCACTGTGACATCTGTGCACCAATCTTCATTTATGTAGAAGCAGATTCCACCTCTTCTCGTTTTCCTGGACAGCTCTGTTACGCGATCCGCTCTGAACACCTGGAAGCCTCGTACTTGTATCGTGCTGTCCACGGTGGAGTCACTTAGCGGGGTCAGTGTTCCTTTCTGGCACAGCCTCACTAAGGTGCCCGCACACTTTCCCCGGCGGCGTTTTTTCCAGGTCCCGTATATTGCCGCTCCGATCAGAATGCCCATACAGCATTCTTCATTCACAAAAATCGAAGGAAGGTAGTTCAGTGTGAGTTGTCCGATATTTAACAGTTCTTCTCTGGTCAAAGTATTCCGGGATGAGCTGCACAAGACCAAGAAAACAAAGAAAAACAACAAACAAGGCTGCCATCGCTGCTGGCACCGGAAGACTGTAATGTTCATATTGTTGTACAAATAAGCATGAACATCATTTGAAGCTGTATCAAATGGTTCATGTTTCTTTGTTTATCCACAGTACAATACAAAGGCAACCAAATTCAGGTCAGCCAGATTTAAACTCCTGACACAAAACAGCACACTCTGACACATGTCAAGTTTTACTGCATGTTTGACTTTAGCCTTGTTAATACTTTATGTCTGTGCTTGCAAATTAGTTCTGCATAACATCTGTGTTGTTTATTATGTCTGGCCAGTGCAAACAAAGCTTTTTTCTAACAGGTTCCTGTGATGATAACATGTTGATCTCTTGTTCTCGACACAGTGAATTATTTACTTTTTACTGCTGCTGCTGCTGTTTTACTGAATCATGATGATTGTTCTACGGGGTGCATGTCTTTACATTCACAGTGGCATCTGCTCCAATATACTGTCTCTCTATTTTTCCTACATTATTTATCTTGCCTTCAACACATTTTATTGAATGTGTAGTTGGTATGACTGTAGACATGGCAAATATAATATGAATTTAAAATAGTCTTTATTGAGCGAGGAGCATAATTATATCTACATCAGTTATAGGCGCAAGTCTACTGGAAACCAACACTTGGCAGAAAATATTGCATGCTTATTGACTCCAGTTTTGTTGTTTTGATGTTTTGATTTTTGTTAGATATGCTTTTAAAGGATACATATTATGCAAAATTCACTTTTAGAGTATTTTCTGACAGTCACCTGGATCATCTCCAGTGTATAGAGACACAAAACATGAGAAAAGATGTTTTGATTTTCCCACATTTGTAAAAACCCCTGCTCAAACGTGCTGTTCGCATTTGTTTCTTTTTATGACATCATACAAAATGGTGTAGCAATTCAAGTCATAGATCCTCCTCCTACTCAGATCTGTTTTTGGTGCTACTGGTCCTCCACGGTGATTTTCTTGCTAGAACAGCAGACGAACAGCCCTTTGGCACAGCTCAGAGGAAAGCTTGGTTTCTGGAACTTTGTGCATGTAGAAGGGTGTAAATGCTTTTTAGTAGAACCTTTAAATAACAGCATGAACCTGAAAATGAGC